GTAAAGTGAGGGCCAGCTTGGCTAACAACCACCATTGTAGGCTAGCATCCTTCATCCCACCTATGAGTTGCTCTAACAGCACATCATCCAGTTCTCAGAACTCACAGTATGTGGCAGCTTTTCTAAGTGCCGCTACATACTGGTTCACGGACTTGCCTTCTTCCTGCATTCTGCGGTGAAATTCACTCTGCCGTACAAACTTCAACTGCACTGGGGCATAATGCACCCATAGTGTGTTCTGTAGTGTGGCCCACAGTACCGCTTGAACCGTGACTGGTTTGACGAGTGCCTTGGCCGTATCGAACACGTCCATACCGCAATAACTGAGGAACAGTGCTCGTTTGCGGTTATTGGACAGTCCCAGGAAATTGTTCACTTCCATGAAGCATTCAAAATGATTCATATAGGAGTCCCAATTGTTGGTGGCTGGGTTGAACGGAGCCGGTGGGGCATACGTGGTCATCATGCTGGCAGACGGTGATTCTGCAGAACAGCGAGCGATGCCAGTTGTTCCCTACTCCGCTGGGTTTCTGGTCTATGAGTCCCTATTCTTCCGATCCCACCTTCATCACGTTAGATTCGATGATGGAAGAGACGGACACAGCTTCTTTAGTGACAACAGCTCTTTATTAGTAGACCAGTGCAACCCAACAACCTGCTTGTCTGGCAGTGTCCTCTTTTATAGAGGGCTGCCAGACAGCTTAACCAATGAGCTTCAAATATTTTCCTGCCATTTTGGAGGACCTGAGTGAAGCCCATGACTCATCCCTTATATGGTCATATCACTTCCTATGATACATAACATTATACTATATTACACCGGTATGAACATGTTGCACGTTGCACTGGCCCTGCAAGTCTATCATATTAAAACTAATTGTGGTGTTATGTAGCATTCAGAAGTCTGACGGCTCAGGTCTATCTTGTCTATCTTCCCAAGGACCTGGGATAAGCAGATATTGTTTGATGGTATTAAAGGTATGGTCACAGGATGTAAGCTCTTCCAAATAAAGTTTGGTTTGCCTTGACTAACAAACTATTGGCCAATTGCAAAATGCATATTTATTTATTTATTTATTTATTTATTTATTTATTTATTTATTTATATTTATTTAAAAGCTATATAAGTAGTGGTTTTATACCAATAAAAATGCATTAATCTTTAAAGTAGAAATGTAACAACAAATAAGAGGAAACAGAAAAAATGCAATTTGTAGAAATGAAATTGTGTACATTGTTATTTATATGTATATATGTAAATAAATCAATATTAGACTTGTATGTATAAAGGATAAATTGAAATAAGGGAGAAAAATGGATAAGTAAGAAATGTTTAACTGTTGGAAAGAAACTATTGTTTAAAGAGTCTTTTTTGTTTTTTTAAAAAATGTATTAATCTGCATTTAATAATATCCAATAGTTAGTCACTTTTTGCTGAAGCATTTTGAAAAAGACAACAAAGATAAGCTATATCCTACTGCTAAAATTAATTTAAATATAAGGTTGTCTTCAGCTAACATAATAGATATTAAACCTGGGTAAAAAATATAGTATTTGCATTCATATTTTATGTTATGTCAAAATTAATAACCATATTACCACTTTAAAACATAACCTTGTTCATACACCATGCTAATGCAATGATTATGGTCCCATAAAATACTGAACTACAAAGTATTGAACCCCATTTTTTAAAATCTACAGTGTTGTGCAAAACATGTTAATGTTTTAATGTTTTTCTGGAGAAGTATTCACTACATAATAAACAACTTTGTATTGTTTATTAATTCAATTGTATTGAAGATTATAATAACTAATACAAAGCAAAAATATATAAAACAATAGAGAAATTGCAGAAAAATAAAATAAAAATAGAAAAGAAAGAGAAAGATATACTAATGATTATAAACCACACTTCATATGTAAAAAGACTATATAAAGAAGTAATATCCCACCTACATTATGACAAGTATAAACAACTTTAGTAACTTAGTACTGCTTCTTAAAATACAAAATTGCTCTCTTTTACTCAAATTCCATCTCTTATTTATAAACAAATTAATAAAGCCTAATCATTTCAGTCCTAATGTCAGCAAATGTTTATTAAGGGTTACCATGTCTGGATAAAAATCTATATTAATTAATAGATTTTATTTTATTCTTTTATCAGACCATTTAATACTACAATCGCAATTGTAAATTACAATATGCAATTGCAATCAGCTGGATGCTGGCCAGCATTATAAAAATCAGTAATTTTTTTCTGATTTTTTTTTATAATTCCTACATAGAAACTACTCCCTGACACTAGCTTGACTACTTAATCAATTTTTTGATAGATATTTGGTTAATTTAATTTCATTAACCATTAATCAAGAACAAGGAACCAATTCATTCCATGTCTTAGATTTTTGCCCTTGTTTCTACTTGTTCAAGATCAAGATCCACTGGTTTGGACTTATCCTTGGACTATTGCTTACAACAAATATTACTATTATCACCTTTCCACCCATAGTCCTACTAATAGTGCTATCTGGTAAATTGCAGCTGTTCTCTCCTTTAATTTGTGTTAACATCTCAGTAAGCAAGTTGGTACATATATGCTTAATTAAAGATGCAAGGAGGTTGGCTATTATCACAAATAGCTTTTTAAGTTTGTATGTCACATCTTCTGCCAACTGTACCATCCTGCCTTTCCTGTATTACCAAAGTATGTGCTCATATAATCGTGGTAATAAAATTTCTCAATAAGAATTATTGTGTTTTTTGCATTCAGTATTATCCAATGTAATGTTAAGATGGATGTTGTTATGTTTAAGGCAATAGAATATTTAATTGATTGTTTTAAGATGAAGATAAATAGCCTTTGTTAACTTTCAGTCCCACCATTCTACTACCATGTGAGCTTCTAAAGTCACTGATAGGTAGAACAATTTAAAAATGGTTGAAATAGTTATATCATTTTAGCTGGTCAGTCATTATGTATTTAGATTTATCTTCAGATAAGGATAAGAAAGCTTTCAGGAAATCTTACAACAGAAACTTGGGATCCCCTTTTGTTATATTTCTCTGATTAGATAATTATTAGATCTTTAATATACAGAAAGTGTTAATATAAAGATAATATATGTATGTTTGCCTATAGGTGTTTATTAGCTTTTTAATGTCTATATAGTGTTGTAATTTTAAATGATGCTGAACAACACTAACTGATGTTCTGGCACTAGAAGAATGAGTTATAAATTTCTAGGTTAAAAGAAAAAGTAGCCAGAAAGGAATTAGACTGCAGTTTTGTAGGCATACTTTTGATTAAGTCTCATAACATTTCATGGCAAGTCAAACTATTAATTCGCATACATACATGATTACAGCTATGGAAGAGTAACAAAATTCTTTTGCATACAAACTACTTGTTCTAGCACTGTTATTGAAAGCCTGGGACCCCAAGTTTCATCTTTGGGGCCCCAAACTTCATCTTTAAATGCACTCATTTTAAAGAAACCTGTTTTTCAGCACAGTACACAAGCTGTTCTAAGATGAACAATATTATTTGTACACATGCTATTTTAATGATGATAAGAAATATTAACCGGTCATTGTACTGCTGTTTTGAATTTCCTGTATAATAAAAAAATGAAAATAGAACATTGGTCTTGCTCAGGGCTCTTCCTGGTCCCTTTGCTTCTGATCAGAAATAAAGTGACAAATTTCCACTTTCCTTAACCCTGCTTATTGATTGGCCTTCATGTCAGTAAATGAACTACAAATTGACGATTGGCCATCATTATGAGCCTGTCCCTATTTTTAAGCAGAGTAAAAGTTTGCAAGAATACACCAATTTATTTATAATACGTAGCATGTGAATGCAATGCTTTTTGCCTATTAGTCTTGATATTTTTCATTTTGGTATGTTTATAATTATTTTCCTAGGCCAGGATATACAAGTAATCCTCGACGTATGACCACATTTGGGCCCAAATTTTTTGTTAAATGAGACATTTGTTACATGAGTTTTGCCCATTTTACAATATTTCTTGACATACTTGTTAAGTGAATTACTGCAATTCATAAGTTGGCTATCTGTTTGTTAAGTGAAACTGGCTTCCCCAATAACTTTGCTTGTGAGAAGGTCACAAAAGGTGATCACATGGGACAGAGCAAAGGTCATAAATATGAACCAGTTGCCAAGCATTTCAGTTTTGATCACATGATCATGGGGAAGCTGCAAAGGTCATAACTGTGAAAAATGGTCATAGATCACATTTTTCAGTGCCGTTGTAACTTTGAAGGTCGAGGACTACCTGTATATGATTACCCCCTCATTCTCATCTATTGATGACATTCCATAAAACTGAGGTTTGTCACACCACCAGTTTTTTTGCTAATAATTTCCAACAACTTACAGTCCAATTTACAATTTCTCCATATTTTTTCATCATATACAGTATAGATCAGATTGATGTTTCAGTTTGATGTTAGCTATATGCCACAGAAAGCATCTCAAATCATTATTGCATACTGAAAATCACCCTCTCGGTACTTGTTATTTTTGTTGCAAACTGGCCAAATTCCCCCAGAGCATTTATAGCTGGATTAAATAACAGCTGTTTCCGTTGTTTTCCTTTCTAGACCTTTTTCTCTACAAACAATCCATGCATTTGTGAAATTCTCTGTTTGCAAAACTTTACTTCCAACAGGTTGCTAGTGAGTATTTGCAAAGTCTTTTTAAAAAACTGTTAATAAATCAGTTGAGAAGCCTCGATAATTTTCTGCCCACCAAGAGTCAAATTTGGGTCTGCAGATGGCATTCCAACAGTTACTAAAAACATTGCATGGCAGCAAATATTGGGACCATAATGAACTACAGCTGTAGAATTAAATTCAAGGGCATTCATCATACCTTGCTTAGATGACAATATGATCTACTAGGTAGGAAATATGACAAACAAAAATATGACAAACAGACCATTAAATTGCATTTGAAAACCAGGGCAACTTACACAGCAATGGTAATCATGGGGCACCCAAAACTGCATTATGGATCAATTGTAGCTTTTGGATAGTCTTCATGGGTGTTGCAGCTAATCCACAATGGAAGTGAACTAAGGCATTAGGGAGTGTGAACAAGCCTGATCTGTGAGGGACAATTCACAATCACTCTGAAGTAATCAACTTCATTGTCATGCTGCTCCAATGTGAGCCATGCTTCTGATTTCAGATTTGGAGAAATCTCTTATGAACTGCATACAGAATTAGAATAAGAAATTTGTGATTTTTTCAGCTGACCTTATTGTGCTTTCACAAATGCCAGAGCAGAATAGAGATTATTGTGCATTACCATCCTTCTGCTTAGGATGATGAGCATGCTGAAGATGCAGCACCTACCTTTGAAGCATCAAAGCAGCAGACATTAGTGCTATTACTTCTTATTGCTTCTTCCTCACCTTCAGATACTCTTTTTGTTCTCATGGACACATAGCTGAGTAATGAAGTACAGGTAGTTCTTGAGCCCAAAATTTCTGCTGCTAAGTGAGACAGTTGTTAAATGAATTTTGCCCCATTTTACAACCTTTCTTGCCATAGTTGTCAAAGGAATCACTGCAGTTATTAAGGTAATAACACAATTGTTAAATGAATCTGGTTTACCCTTTGACTTTGCTTGTCAGAAGGTTCCAAAAAGTGATCACGTGAACTTGGGACACTGCAACCATCATAATGAGTCAGTTGCCAAGGGTCTAAATTTTGATTATGTGACCATGGAGATGCTACAATGGCTGTAAATGTGAAAAATGGTCATTTTTCAGTGCCGTTGTAATTTTGAATGATCACTAAATGAGCTGTTGTAAATCAAGAACTTCCTGTACTTGTAAGGTCCTATTTAGTGCAACAGATCATCACTACTGTCTCCAAATATCCATCTGTGGCTAATAGAAGTGGGTGTGTGGGTGTAATGTGTAAATATGTGAGTAAATAATAAAAGCAGCTACTTCATCCAGTTACTTTTCAGTATTATACAGAAATATAATTATACAGAAATATTGATTATACACAAAAAAGTAGAAAACAGAATTTCTCATATTATTAGTCTCTTATATTGCTTGACAAGCCACTGGAAACTTGGTAGATATCTTTTCTGTTACTGTGCACTTACGTATGTGCCAAATGCAACATCTTTTCTTATCTGACATATCTTATTTAATGGCATCATTGATTTCCTACTTAACAAATATATTCTTTTGGGGATGTTGTTTACATTTCATGACTAGCCATTTTCACTACCTATGAGCTTCTTACACTTGAAAGCCATAAAACATTTAACTCTTTGTAGGCTGAGGCTGACCCTTATTGTACTTCTAGGGATTATGGACAGCTCTTCAATGAAGATGGAAAAATCCCATGATATAGGAGAAAATCTTTTAAGGTAACATACTATAGGACACTGGATTTCATCATATCTGCTTGAATATTACACAAAACAGCCACAATGATAAAACACAAGCCTGAACAAACTGCACCTGTTTCATAACCTTACAAAGGAAGAAAAATTGTACTGTACACATCTTGATATGTCCAGGATCACAGATTACTCATGCCAGGCTCATTTTAAATTAAACCATGTATATTTATAAACTCATTCCCTTTCCCATACTTACTAAAATCACAAATTTCAACTCCCGTCCTAATGTCAATTGGAGAAGAGAAACAATGAAGGCCAGCAGAACAAAGTGCAGATTCTTGGAGCTTCTTGCTAGACTTGTTTCTTCCATTCTGCTAGCAGATATGTAAATGCTTTGTCACCAGAACACATACTTTTTAAGGAATATTAAAGGGTGGATACCTAGCAGATAATTAAAAGAGGAAGTGACAATTACATATATTGATCTATTTCTTAATTTAGGATTTTTTTTTAGCAACTTTAGCTCTAGAAAATGAAAGATATGTGATTGGTGAAATCAGATTTCTTTTCAAAACAAATTCAACTTCTATATAATACAGAGAGATGAACGTACTTACACATTGCAATACATAATGTAGTTAATTTGATTTAGCATGTTTGTAAAATATGAGGTTTAGTATGTAAGTCTTTTCATCAGTAATTAAACTTAAGACAATGTATGAACCAGGTTCTCCATTGACAGTCTATTAGGACTTTGTGAAAGTTTAAGAGGGCTTTACTTTGATGATTATTTCAGCAAAATTTTAAAAAAAACACATGAAGTATTCCTTTTGAGAAGATCAGGAACCTTACACAACCTTCTCAAAAGTTGTCAAACTTCCCAAAGGACTTTTTGTATATGCATGGAAGTCATTTTACTTAAGGTGAAGTGATTGAGTAAATTACTTCCATTTTGGCCCTCACAACGCTGAGACATTAACTCTAGATCAAATGTGCCCATTGCCCATTGTAATACTATCAACCATTCTAATTCATAGTAACATAAATTAAAGCGGTAATATCTCTGGAATGAAATTCTTTGGAACTAAATTGGCTAAGGCAACACACATATCTACTGTATAACATTTAATGTTAATAATGTTTTAATAATTAAAAATAATAATAGTGAAATGCAAAACAAATCACAACATTGACATACAGGAAAAAAAGCAAATAGTAATTATACAGTGAAGAATGAAAACTTCTATGAAAATAAACTAAGCATGACAAAAAACCCAATTAACAGAAAAAAGTTTCACACAATTATGGATAATAATTTAAAGCTAATTTCATTCAGAAGTTTGCCATAAATCTGGATCATATAGTATATAGTACATTATCCTGATTCTCATAACATGGATTTTTTTTTATATAAAATCTTGGATCCATTCCTTAAAGTAAAGAAAGTAAGTTTTTCTCCAGTTGTATAAATATATCATCTTTTCCAAGTACCAGAACCAGTAGTGCTTTTCATGATATGACAAATTCTATTTTTAGATATATGTTTTGACATCACATTGAGATCCTTAATTAGAAGATTTCCTCCCAAAATTGGACTGACATATGCAATGCTTTGAAATCAAAACAAGGTTATAATTGCACAAGAATTTACTTTCCTCAGGAAATTTAATTGTTGATTTCCATTCAAGTGCTACATCTGTCAAAGAATCTAAAATAGCAGGTACATCGCAGACTGCTACAGCATCCAAACCATTACTGTTTAATTAATACATTTCAATTGTAAATATTTCCAAGATATTATGAATGTAATATTCAACACATACTGTACCATCTTAAAATCTTTAAAACATTAGAAATTAACCAATTTAAAGGATGGATTTCTTGTTTAACCCAAGGATTTCAATAAAACATCTTTCCTGCTATTTTTAAATGTGCGTTATTCTACAATTTCTGTTTTTCATGAGATTTGGGTTCAATATTGTTTATCGAATAATAAACAAATGTGCTTGTCAGCATGAAATGTGCTTGCAAAGCATGAAAAGAAGATCCTGGGATAGTATAGTTGGAGTTTAAAAGAAGAAGTCAAAGAACTACATTCATGCTCCCTAAATATTCCTAAAGAGTAGAAAAATCATAAGATGTTTTTAAAAAATTGTTAAAATATGTGAAATCATTGCGAATAAACTACAAGATGCAGCATGTAGGTAAAAATATATTATAATCATGGAAGTTCTAGTTATGTATTAGGCACAAAGCCAGTCGTTTTCTAGGAAGGAGGCAACATTAAACCATTTCTAAAAACTTGCCCAGAAAACTACAGTGTCTTGTCCAGGCAGTCCCTGGGAATCAGATACAATTGAAAGGAAGAATAGAAAGAGAAAGAGAGAATTAAAAGACTGGTAACCATCCAGAGTTATCAAAATGAACTAGAAGGCTCAGCAATGTTCCAGATATACTTGATACTTCTTTTTTTCAGGTCAAAGAACTGTTTTAGTAAGTCAGCAACTGATGTTGCATTTAAACTCTGAAGCGTATTTTTGGAATAAAAACTGAATGGTTGTATAGCTACTGGATGAAACCTCTTAGGGCTACTTAATAGAAAGAAACCAGGAAATATAAGCCCTTTTGGGTTGGCCTTCTTTAATTACTTGAAACTAATAGACCTGGGTTTACTTTGTCAGTAATTATTTTGCTGGTAATTAGATTGTGAGCTGTGAGGAACCTAGAATGTTGCTTTCAACTAATTCTGCTTTCCCCCCCAAAAAAATTAATATACAATAATTTTTCTATCATGGTGTAACATCACCAAAATATCCATATATATATATATATATCAATAATCAGAGAGTAAAATTAGAAAATATTTGCAAATTCTTATATACAAATTTACATTTCCCATACTTATAAATTACCATAATTATACCATCGTCTATAATTGTAATCCAACATTATCCTTTGTCTCTCTCCCATCATTTCTGGATCCAATCATACCACATATTCCAACTACCATAAAAGTCTGAATCTCTTTTACCCTTGATCAGTTTTGTAAGTCTATCGGACTCCGCACATTCCATGATTTTATATATTATTTTTGAGTCGTTGGTAAGTCCTCATTCTTCCATTCTTGTGCGAATGCCAGTCTCCCTGCAGTGATTATGTGCAGCATCAAATACCATTTAGTCATTCCAATATTTACGGGTCTAACCCCCAATAAGAAGGTTTCCGGTTTCAGTTCCACTCTACAGTGTATAATTTCAAGCAACCATCGTCGTATTTTCATCCAATATTTAGCTGCTGGGGCATATCCACCATTGGTGGAAGTAAGTTCCATTGCTATGCCCACATTTCCAGCACTGTGAAGATGTCCCGGGGAACATTTTAGCTAATCTTGCTGGAGGTAGGTGCCATCAATAAACCATCTTGTAAATATTCTCTTTATAAGAGGATGCCATAGTTAATTTTAAGTTTTTAAACCAAATCTCCTCCCAGTTTTGAAAATCCAATGAGTAACCCATATTTCGCCCCCAGGCAATCATGGAGTCTTTAACGACATCCTCCCCCACTTTCAATGATAATAGATAAGAATAGCATTTCGATAAAACTTTCCTGTCATTACCTAATAAGATTTTATCCAATTCTTGTTTTCCATAATATATCCCTTCACTCTCCTTATCTTTCTTCCA